GGTTTCTCTGTGTAGTTTTGGTGCCTATTCTGGATCTCGCTCTGTAGACCAGGCTGGCCTCGAACTCAGAGATCCACCTGCCTCTGCCTCCCGAGGGAGGGCTGGGATTAAAGGCGTGTGCCACTGCCCTTTTAAATTTGGTGCCTAATTGTTGGGCTTAAGGAAACAGAATGGGACTAAGTGTTAGGGCTGTTTGGGAAGGACCTCTGAGAGATTCCCCAGCTAGACTGCTGCTTGTCCACCGGAGAGGGTGGGGATGAGCCTGACCCGGAGAGGCACAGGCGCCCTCAGCTGTACCCAAGTCCCTCCCTTCCCGTAACTTCCCCACACACTTCCTCTGCTCTCATCAACAGGATCCAGTTTGCCTGTGGGATCTTGGGCGACCACAAAGACATCTGTAGCCCAGGCTTGGCCCCAGCCCGGCCTGCATCTTCTCAGTACCCTTTGGAAAGGGGGCTGATGGGGCGGACCGGGGGGCTCAGGCGGGGACAGGGAGGCTGAAGAGCTGAGAATGAAGGGTCACTCTCCTAAGAAGTGACACCGGAGGCGGGAGCGGTAAGCGGGCCTGTCAGGAATCGGGGCAGCAGCGTTTTGGGTTCTCATCCCACCATCCTGCTTGGTCCTGAGATTCCCTTCTACCCTGGCGGCCCGGCTGCTGCCATAGCACCAGCCGCAGGGGGGCGCTGCTCCCCGACTGTCTGGCTCCCGGACGCCAGTTGGCCACAGCGCCCCCTGCAGACTAGTCTGTAGAGACGCTCCAGAGAGGGGCTGCGGGTGGAGAAGGCTTGACGAGCCGCCCATCCTCTGCCCCTGCCCCGCTGAGCCTGGGCTTGGGGCTCTCACACGCGGGTGCAGTCAGGCTCTGGGCTTCCCAGTGAGGAGGGCAGGACCGGCTTTCTACCCTGGAGTCTCTCTGCCCAACCTGAGACACGAGCCTTTTGGACCCCACAGCCTCCCGCCCTGGATCTCCAGCCTTTCTTTTGAAGACTTCGGCCGCACTGTCCCCAGACAAGCCCAGCTCCCTGCCTATGCCCCTCACCCCAGCTCGGCTTCAGCTCTCCTCTCCCGTCTCACGCTGGGCAGGCCCTCCTCGTCTTCCTCCGTCACTCAGCTGCCCGGGGACGCCAGGATTCTGATGGATGGGCGGGTCCTCCTGCAGCCTGTGTTCACACTAGCCTCTCCCACCCACCCCCTCACCTCACCTTTTCATCCGCCATCGGGTAGTTTATCAGCAGAGACCGTACCTGGAGGAAGGGACTTCCAGATAAGCAAGTAGGCTGGAGTAATAAAGAGAGGCAATTGCAGCTCCGCAGATAAGGCTTTCCCGGGCTCCCTGGGGAGGGAGTGCCAATGGATGATGCCCTGGGGTTTTTTCCTTTCTTTCTTTCTTTCTTTCTTTCTTTCTTTCTTTCTTTCTTTCTTTCTTTCTTTCTTTCTTTCTTTCTTTCTTTCT